ATATATTTTCCCTGCCTGTGAGCCATCTCTTCCATAGAACTCCTCTCTCCTGTTTCTCTTTCTCCTTTTCTTCTTCCTCCTCCTCCCCCTGCTTCTGTCACTCATCTTCCTCCTTTCCTCCTCTTCCCCCTCTCTTTTGTACCCTCTTTCTCCCTTATTCCTCTTTCTTCATCTTCCTCAGCCTCTTTTTACTCTGATTTTGTCTTTTTCTTCAGCCTCCTCCCTCTACTTTTGCTCCTCCTCCGCCTCCAATCTTTTCTCTCTTCCTGTTCCATCTTCTCTCTTCCTTCTCCTCATCTCTTCTTCTGCTCCGTATCCTCCAATCCTTTCTCTCTTCCTCCTCCCTTTCTTCTTTCTCTACCTCCATCTGCTCCACTTCCATCTTCTCTCTTCCTCATCCTCCTCCCTCAGCTTCCAACTTTTCTCTCCCTCTTCTTCTACCTCCATCTTCTCTCTCCCTCCTCCCTCAGCCACCTCTTCTAGCGTGGGAGATTTAGAGTAGCGTACGTGACAACTAGTGGCTGTAGTTAGTGCTGGTTTACGAGGTGTGTGTGTGTGTGTGTACGCGCGCGCGCCCCCTGGCTTAACCATGCCTCCACCTTCCATCCAGGTTAACGGCACTACCCTCTCTAATGTTACCCACTATCAGTATCTTGGCTCCCACCTGTCCATTACCGCGGACATCGATAAAGAGGTTCAACATCTGATCAAATGCGCATCTCAAGCCTTTGGCAGACTCCGTACCCGTGTCTTCAGCTGTAGGGAGCTGAAATTATCTACAAAATTAGCATTAGTCCTCCCCACCCTACTGTATGGCAGCGATACGTGGGTCGCATACAGGAGGCACCTCAAGGCACTTGAAAACTTTCACCACCGTAGTCTACGTTCCATCCTCCGAGTTCACTGGGAAGACAAGAGAACAAATGCCGGTATTCTCCCTGACACCAACTGTAAGAGCGCCGAAGATACCATTATCCATGAACAAATACGTTGGACTGACCATGTTACCCGCATGGACAACAGTAGACTGCCAAATTAGCTACTTTACAGCCACATAATGGATAGTAAACGTAACGCCGGCGGGCGTTTGAAAAGGTATAAGGATAGTCTTAAGACAAACCTGAAAAAGTGCCAAATCGACCCTCTCACCTGGGAGACGGTTATTCCACACCGTAACGCTTGGAAGAACACCACACGAGAAGGTGTCAATACTTTCGAATTACCCCGACTGCATACCGAGGCAGACAAGCGCCAGCGCCGGAAAGACGCTGTTCCCGCACCACCTGCACTAGATGAAGCCCTCCACACGTCCAACATCTGTGGACGGTCCTGCCGATCCCGTATCAGCCTCTTTAATCACCTCAGAGCTCACTAACGAAGGTGACATCCTTAATAACTCATATCATTGTATCATAGCTGGATGATCGTCACACTTGATTCCAAGTGACTTTCTGAAGTAATTGTGAGGCGGTATTGGCGTATTGGGGCCAGCCTGCAAGGGAGGGGCGGGGTTGTTTTCTATATCCTCCCTTCACTCGCTCTTTCTCACCTTATTTACCTCGCATTTCTTCACCTTCACACACACTCACAATCACTCACGCTTATATCTACTGTACCTCACTTACACCTCACCCCCACTGCACATTCCCTCACTCTCACTGCACATTCCCTCACTCTCACTGCACATTCCCTCACTATCCTCACCTTCCCCTCACTATCCCTCACCTCACTATCCTCTCACCCTCACTATCCCTCACCTTCCCTCACATTCCCTCACCCTCACCTCAAATTCCCTCACCCTCACTATCCCTCTCACCTCACTATCCCTCCCCACCCTCACTATCCCTCACCTTCCCTCACATTTCCTCACCCTCACCTCAAATTCCTCACCCTCACTATCCTCTCACCCTCACCATCCCTCACCCTCACCTCCATTCCCTCACCCTCACTATCCCTCACCTCACTGTCCCCCTCACCTCCTTCCCTCACCCTCCCTCACTTCCCTCACCTCACTATCTCACCCTCCCATCCTCACCCTCACCTCACATTCCCTCACCCTCACTATCCCTCCCTCACTGTCCCTCACCCTCCTCACTTTCCCTCCCCTCCTATCCCTCACCCTCACCATCCCTCACCCTCCCTCATTCCCTCACCCTCCTTTCCCTCACCTCTATCCCTCACCCTCACTATCCTCACCCTCCTCACTGTCCCTCACCCTCACCTCACATTCCCTCACCCTCACTATCCCCCACCCTCACCATCCTCACCCTCACTTCCCTCACCCTCTGTCCTCACCCTCACCTCACTGTCCCTCACCCTCACTTCCCTCCCTCATTCCCTCACCCTCACTATCCTCACCCTCACCCTCCTATCCCTCACCCTCACTGTCCCTCACCCTCTGTCCCTCACCCTCATCCCTCACCCTCCTGCATCCCTCACCCTCACCTCACATTCCCTCACCCTCACTATCCCTCACCCTCACCATCCCTCACCCTCACCTCATTCCCTCACCTCACTATCCCTCACCCTCTCCTCCTGTCCTCACCCTCACTATCCTCACCCTCACCTCACATTCCCTCACCTCCTTTATCCCTCACCTCACCCTCACTATCCCTCACCCTCACTATCCCTCACCCTCACTGTCCTCACCCTCACCATCCCTCACCCTCACCTCACATTCCCTCACCCTCACTATCCCTCCACCTCACCCTCACTGTCCCTCACCTCACTATCCCTCTACCCTCACATTCCCTCCCCTCACTGTCCCTCACACCCTCACTATCCCTCACCCTCACTATCCCTCACCCTCACTATCCTCACCCTCACTATCCTCACCCTCACTATCCCTCACCTTCCCTCACATTCCCTCACCCTCACCTCAAATTCCTCACCCTCTCATCCCTCACCCTCCTATCCCTCACCCTCACTATCCCTCACCTTCCCTCACTTCCCACCCTCACCTCAAATTCCTCACCCTCACTATCCTCACCCTCACCATCCCTCACCCTCACCTCACTTCCCTCACCCTCCTGTCCCTCACCCTCACTATCCCTCACCCTCACTATCCATCACCCTCACCTCACTGTCCCTCACCCTCACCTCACATTCCTCACCCTCACTATCCCTCACCCTCACCTCCCTCACCCTCCTCCATTCCCTCACCCTCACTATCCCTCACCTCACCATCCCTCCTCCACATTCCTCACCTCACTATCCTCACCCTCACCTCACTGTCCCTCACCCTCACTGGCCTCACCCTCACCTCCTTTCCCTCACCCTCACTATCCCTCACCCTCACTGTCCCTTACCCTCACTATCCTCACCTTCCCTCATTCCTCACCCTCACATTCCTCACCCTCACTATCCTCACCCTCACCCTCCTGTCCCTCACCCTCTCTCCCTCACCTCCTTGTCCCTCACCCTCACTGTCCCTTCCCTCACCATCCCTCACCTTCCCTCACTTTCCCTCACCCCACTATCCCTCACCTTCCCCTCACTATCCTCACCCTCACTATCCTCACCCTCACTGTCCTCACCCTCCTTCCTCTCTGTCCCTCCCTCACTGTCCCTCACCCTCCCCTCACCTTCCTCACTATCCCTCACCCTCCTTCCCTCCCACCCTCCTGTCCTCACCTCACATTCCCTCACCTCACTATCCCTCACCTTCCCTCACTATCCCTCCTCACTCTCTACCCTCACTATCCCTCACCCTCACTGTCCCTCCCTCACTGTCCCTCACCCTCACTATCCCTCACCCTCACCCCTCACATCCCTCACCCTCACCATCCCTCACCTCACCATCCCTCACCTTCCCTCACTGTCCCTCACCCTCACTGTCCCTCACCCTCACTCCTCACCCTCCTGTCCCTCACCCCTCACTATCCCTCACCTCACTATCCCTCACCCTCACTATCCCTCACCCTCACTATCCCTCACCCTCCTATCCCTCACCCTCCTGTCCTCACCCTCACCATCCCTCACCCTCACCTCACATTCCCTCCCTAATACCTCAGCTTTTCATACCTACCCCTTAATTTTCTCTACCCTCCCCTCACCCCATCAACTACCTAGTGTATATTTCATTTTGTGATTAAATATTTTTTCCTTTGGCTACCAACTTTGAATTTGTTTACAAGTGCAAACTACAGCACAGTTGATGTATGTAATTTCATGTAGGTTACGTGTGTGTAGACTAGAGTACGGTGGTTTTATGTAGTGTGTGTGTGTGTGTGTGTGTGTGTAAACTATGATGACGGCTTCATGCAGTTTACGTGTGTTGCACATGCTACAAGGTAAAGTGAGGCCGCTACCATCGACCCGTCAGGTAGGTGGTGTGGCATCGACCGCCTCTCTCTAATATTGTTAAGTAACGTTCACCTGTCCTTGAGTACAGCAGTACTTAGGTGTTAGTTATTCCAAGTAGATGTTAATCACTGAAAAACAAAAAAACTGTATTTTACATATTTCCCCATCTCGATGTTTTAAGTATGTAGGAAGGTATTCTCCCTGGGTTAAATTTTGGTGATGTTCTGGGTTGTTATTGAACATATCGCGGCTCTTATTATTTCTCTTATTGTAGGCGACGCCCAGTACTAAATCTGCTTTTGACGCGTTTTGCAATTCGTTGTGGCAGCCGCACCACCTATAAATTGCTATCCAATTTTATGTAAGGAACATTTCGTGTAAATAATAACATACATTTGGGGGCTTTTATAAGGGGAGGATTCTCTTTCGATTGTTTGTTTTCGAAGTGCCGTAAATATTAGGATGAGGCAACACGGTATTTCCTGCTATTTACACTGTCCGAGAACCCCTTTGCTTAGACCTCATCAGGCTGTATTCCAAGCGTAATATCTGATTTCATTTGAATATCTGTCCAGTATATCTAGAACTTAATGTGATCTGGGCATAATTCTTGGGTAAATTCAATGGAACGAAAAGTCTGGGCGGCGCGCGGAGGGACGAAGTGGCAACTGGCTGGAGGTAGTGTTGGTTAGACAGTCAGTCGAGTCGTGGCCCAGAGTTAGTGTTGTCTGGGAGTGTGTCGGGGGAGTATGTGCGACCACCGCTCCTCTCAACTCTGTGTAAGCGTGGCGGCCGGCCTCCAGTCGCACATTTCTTAATTTCTCAGTGTTTGCTTTTTGTCATTGGCATACAAGTGTAATATCGGTGGTGGTGGTGACAACGAACCATGTATTGTGAACTGTCAACATTGATATATCGTTATAGACGCCTCGACAGTATGAAGACTGCATGTTGGATTTGAGGCGAGTATGTGTTCAGGTTGTGAGCTGAAGCATAATTATCTCTTGATATACTGAACTTTCTCACGACTGTTAAAGTGCTTTTACTTACTAATATATCTTGGGGCCATGATAGTGCTGTCAGGTACCTGAAACCTCGTGTTTGTGTGTCGGAAAACTTGGCACACGAACTTTTGCTAATATAGTGATGAACATAATAGTGACTAGTTAGTTTATTGTGCGTAAAAGTATTGTCCAAACCTTGTTATGGTGTGTGATGGATGGTGACACCCCCTTAGTATATAATATTCTTGACGTTAGTATTTTAAAACCACTTTTGGCGAGGAAGTAGTTTGGGCAGTGGGGTCGACCAAATGGTGACAATAGTAATAATATTTTTGACGCTAATATATTGATATGCCTTTCTGGAAGGGATGATGAATAGGTGTTGGGCAAATGAGACAACACGAGCCAAGCCTAACCTAACCTTCCTTACTAAGCAAACTTTACTTTTTTTTTTATTAATACAGTACTATGTTAGGATTGTTTAGTATTTTGTCGTTACTGGTGATTATTGTGGCACCATACAAGAGCTATATTACCTCGTCAAACATATTCTTTACGTCCCGCGAGGTGAGGGATGAACTTGACAAACGAGAGGCTGGTAAAGGCAGGTTCGTCACCACTGTCTGAAAATTTACGAGCGGTCCGGGTTTATGACGGGTGTTTAGTTTAACATTCTGGTAACATTGTCAAACATCGTTAAGGTGATTGTGATACACTCCCTCTTTTGTTGACGTTGATAAACATTTTAGGAAAAGATAAAAAATAAATGTTTTTCATTGTAATGTTGTCAGGTTTAGGAACTGAATAAGCACATAATTTTCACGGCATTGTTTAATTAAAGATTCTGTTAGTTGTTTTGTGTATATTTGTTTAAAATTCAGTTTGGTATTGTGAAATAATTAGGACCGAATTGTAAATGTAAACCTATTGTGTCCAGCCGTACAGTACAGTTACTTAATTAACATTTTGAAAAAAGAAGTTAAATCAGCTAGAATTATGGCCAGGTGTTTGCTTTTACTTATTAACGTTTGGCCACTGTAGTGTAGACAGCTTTATTTACTCAACATAATGAACAATGACTTAACTTATTTAACACGTTACTTCAGTCCTTTTAGTAACTCGTAAGATGCCCAGCGTTTAGTATTGTTCATATTAAAACGGATTTACATGCTCTTGCCTACCAATAACTTGATCCCAGTGAGACCCGAAGCGCTGTTCCGGGATTTGGAAGTCGAATGCAAGCTCCGTGCATACCCATCACGCCATTGGATGCTCGTCGCTTTTATTGGCCTATTTCACGGGACAGTGGCTCCAGCCTCCCTGTGTGACACCTCGCCTGGAACAGCACACACCCAGCTCTAATGTCACTTGGTTGGGGAAATGGAGACATAATTCACCTTTTGACTACCATATTTTCAATTTACCAATGCATCAATAAGGCACTTAAGTGGATGAATTTAAGTAATAAGTCGGCTTACTTAAATTGGAAAATGTTTGAGTGAAGTTAAAGTTAGATTAGATTCAGGTAAGTTGTGAAAATCATATCTCGCCAACTTGGTCCGTAACTAGGATTTAATTGCACGTTGCTCAGCGAATTCTTACACCCGGGGTTAGTTGATGTGCCTCTCCTCCCTCCTCCCAGCCGCCCCCACCAGAATAACCCAGATGTTTGTCCGTGTTCCTCTTAACGTAAACATTACTAGCCTCAACCTCTTAACATACCACCGAGATGTTCTGATCGTTTATGTTACTGATCTTAGCATGCGAGACATACACCTCTACGGAGTTTGCTTTATAACTTATATTTCCCTAGATGTTACACTATTTGTACATGTTCAATGAAAGACTCGTGAACTTCTGATTGTGTTAATAATTTATAAAGAAGTTTCATCATATTGCAAGGATTGATTATTAGGTTCTCGTTTAAATTATATAATCGAACTAGAACTGTTAAGCTTATATCCTGACATGTTGGGGAGCTGTGAACGACTAGGCTATCCACTTTAACTCTCAGGTTCCTATACAGCTTAGTGTTACTTTTGTTTTTGTTGTTGAATTATGTAACTCCTGAAGTCGCTGAGGGAGGGGGAGAGGTAGTGGTGGCCGCGGGACAAGATTATGTAGTGTGTGTGTGTATTTATAGTGTTGAAGTGATGTTAGTAATCAGGTGAAGTTTATCTACGCGCGAGTATTGATTAGTTTACAACACGGATAATATTATAATGTGGAATAAAATACCCACTTTCTCACAACCCAACCCAACCCAACCCAACCCAACCCAACCCAACCCAACTCTTAACCCAACTAACCTAACCTAACTAACAGAACAATATCTAGGTGTAATTCACTCTACCCTCCACACCATCAACGCTTGGCTGGCTAAAAAAAAAAAAAAGATTAAATTAAGTCTGACTAATAGAGACCTTGTGTGCTGCTGAACTATATATACCGTAACTCAGTGGCTGTTTCCTACTAAAATCACACAATAATATAGTGATGATTTTTTTCGCTAATCCTAAAACACCGAAGACTTCCATCAGTGTTAAACGTACGTGACCAGTCCTCGATGATAAGACGATTGGCGGTCACACTGCTTACTGTCTGCCCTAAGATTTATACAAAACTGAACAGTGAATGATACGTGTCTTCAGGGTCATACATAAACACAAACAATGCCCTAGCAGTGTACAGAGATGTGACATAGATAATATACACCATTTCACATTCCATACGTGTTCTGGTACAGTTGTGTATGAACCGAGTATAAACATCAATGTACTGTATACACACTCACCTCTGGCCCTGCTGTGAGCGAGGGTTATTGAGCACTATATTGGTGTGGTGTTATACATTATGGTGCCGGAACATAAGTGGGGTAATGGTGAGGATAATTTGCCAGGTTACTGTAAGCTTTGATGCGGTTGATGGAGACGATGTTTAAATCTGTTTAGAGACGTTGTTTAATTCGGTTTAGAAACGGGTTGTTTTAGTCGGTTTAGAGTCGGGATGTTTAGTTCGGTTTAGAGACGATGTTTAATTCGATTTCGACAATGTTTAATTCGGTTTCGAGACGTTGTTTAATTCGGTTTAAGTAATCGAATTCAGTTTAGAGACGATGTTGAATTCGGTTTTGAACAATGTTTAATTCGGTTTAGAGTTGGCATGTTTAGTTCGGTTTAGAGACGATGTTTAATTCGGTTTAGAGACGCTGTTTAATTCGGTTTATAGGCAGTGTTTAATTCGGTTTATAGGCAGTGTTTAATTCGGTTTAGAGCAATGTTTAATTCGGTTTTATAGGCAATGTTTAATTCGGTTTAGAGGCAATGTTTAATTCGGTTTAGAGAAGCATTTAATTCGGTTTATAGGCAATGTTTAATTCGGTTTAGAGATGTGATGTTTAATTCGGTTTAGAGGCAATGTTTAATTCGGTTTAGAGATGTGATGTTTAATTCGGTTTAGAGGCGAAGTCGAATTCAGTTTAGAGACGATGTTGAATTCGGTTTAGACAATGTTTAATTCGGTTTAGAGTTGGGATGTTTAGTTCGGTTTAGAGACGATGTTTAATTCGGTTTAGAGACGTTGTTTAATTCGGTTTATAGGCAGTGTTTAATTCGGTTTATAGGCAGTGTTTAATTCGGTTTATAGGCAGTGTTTAATTCGGTTTATAGGCAGTGTTTAATTCGGTTTATAGGCAATGTTTAATTCGGTTTATAGGCAGTGTTTAATTCGGTCTATAGGCAATGTTTAATTCGGTCTATAGGCAGTGTTTAATTCGGTTTAGAGACGCTGTTTAATTCGGTTTTATAGGCAATGTTTAATTCGGTTTAGAGGCAATGTTTAATTCGGTTTAGAGATGTGATGTTTAATTCGGCTTAGAGATGTGATGATTAATTCGGTTTAGAGACAATGTTTAATTCGGTTTAGAGATTGGATGTTTAATTCGGTTTAGAGCCGATGTTAAATTTGGTTTAAAGACAATGATGAATTCGGTTTAGAGACGATGTTGGATTCGGTTTATATACATTGTTTATTTCGGTTTAGAGACAAGTATTTAATTCGGTTTAGAGCCCAATTCGGTTTTATTTACGTTCAGAATACGTTGACCAAGTGGCGCTAAATATGTGCATTATGGTGTTGCATCTCGCTGATGATCATACTACGGGCGTGTGCTGTCTGGACTCTGTGGTGGGGCGTATGGTTTATGGGCGGGCGGCGGTCGTTTTTTGTGGCAGAAGGGTTTGAGTTATATGGGCGGGTGAGGGGGCCGTGCATTGTGACGGGTGTGGGCGCGCTATGAGCAGACGACAGACGTGTATTGTGTGGATTGACTGCTGTGTGTATTGTATGGACGGGCGTGCACTGTGTTGACGGGCTGTTACGTGTGTTGTAAAGATGGGCGTGCACTGTGTTGACGGGCTGTTACGTGTCTTGTGCGGATGGGCGTGCACTGTATTGACGGTCAGTTACGTGAGTGTTATGGATGGGCGTGCACTGTGTTGACGGGCTGTTACGTGTGTTGTAAGGATGGGCGTGCACTGTGTTGACGGGCCGTTACGTGTCTGGTGCGGATGGGCGTGCACTGTGTTGACGGGCTGTTGCGTGTGTTGTAAAGATGGGCGTGCACTGTGTTGACGGGCTGTTACGTGTCTTGTGCGGATGGGCGTGCACTGTATTGACGGTCAGTTACGTGTGTTGTAATGATGGGCGTGCGCTGTATTAACGGGCTGATACGTGCATTGGGACGGCCGTGCACTGTATTGACGGTCAGTTACGTG